TCATTTAAGAAAATAAAATCGAAAAAAAAATTTTTTTCCCCGGCGACCTAGGGTGGTCCTCTGGCGGACCCTCTCTTAAGGACTTGTGGATATTCTATAGGATAGGCGATCATGACTTATGAGTACACTCACAGGATTACCCTAGAGTACTGATGGGTAATCCATAATGTAGGCTTTGAAGACGTATGTATACCTGCATAGGATAGGTCTTGTGGAATTATGGATACTCCAAATGATAGACGATGATAACTTATGAATACTCTCATAGGATAGGCATGGAGGACTTATAGCACTTCCATGGAATCTGTCATTAGAACTTATAGGTTTCCTATAGAATGCATCGTTTTCTTGTGATTTCTATCGTGCTGCTTGGTTTCAAGGATTCCCATTGTGCTTATAGAGATGCAGAATCTTGTAAATTCGCCTTTTACCCTGTGTGTAGCAGCCTTTAAAACTGGTTATCTGTGTTCGACGCACTTGAAAATATGATCGGAGTATATTGTTAAAGATTACTTTAGATTTTGGATTTTTTCGGATTTCTTAGGACTTTTTTGGATTTGTTCGGATTTAAAATCCAAAAAATTCGCCTTTTCCCCCTTGATCAGCATTCATACTTACAAACGCACTCACACCCAAATGACCAAAGGAATAATAACTGGCTTAAGTCAGCTGAAAATCAAAACTAAATTACATATATCATCTAAATTCATTTTATTCCGATAAATCACCTTAACTCATCTTAACTCACTTTAAATCATTGAGCATCAGCGATTGGAACTCAGAAAAAATTTTTACAGATGTAAAATGGAATCAAAGCTTATATTCTTATTTGAGTTAGAGGTGTACCGCTCACGCTCATGAGCGCTTTTTCGCTGTAATGAACAGAAGGAAGAAGGGCATAAGTGTGGGTGTGGTGTGTGGGTTTAGGTACAATGAAGCAGAAGAAACAACCACAACCACAACCACGCTCACATCCCACATCCACATTCTAGTTTTACATGAATGTCGTTTGTTTAACGATAGGTTCGACTCTGAATCACTGGCTTTGCATTGTTCAGATAAGGTTTGACGCAGACGACTCACCCACTGAGGCATACCTGTAGACATCTGAATTCTGTTGGAAGATATGTATCCATCAGTTTGATGTTCAAGCAAGCCATATTGATGCCGGACAAAATGATGGAAAAGAATTACAATTTACACAACCGTTTCATTTAATGCTAATTATGAGTAAGCATGAAACAGTACAAATTTATTCTGATTTCATAAGAAGATAAAAAAAATAGAAAACAATTTATTAATTGCTTTTACTTTATGATTTAAATGTTACATTTATACATGCAGGATTTAAAGAGGCAAATCGATGTATAGAAGTTCGTCATATGGGGGGAAATCCTCGTGGATGACAATCGCTGAAATGGACATACGAGCCGTCGTTTGATTTGATTATTGCAGTAAAATGAGCATTGGTATTATTGAAGCCAGTGGAGGGCGGTATGTGAAGATATGTGGTGTGGGTGTAGGGTGTGTGTGGATGTAGTTATAATTGTCTCTTTTTCTTCATTGCACCTAAACCCACACCCCACACTCACATCAACATCCACACTTCATGCCCACACTGACACCCACATCCTAGGTGTGTGAGTCTTGTTACGTGGAAGACATTGACACACTTACGCACCTATACACCCCACCCACACCCAACACTCTCATTCTAAGCGAACGACGATCAACTCGATAAATTGAGAAAAAAATTCTTCATTGAACAGTGACACTCAAATGCTATCTCATTCTTGTTGATTATTTCACGAAAGAACAACTGAATCTTTTAATCTGATTGAACAAAAATCAAGGTTGTCGTTGATAGAACTTGAGTTTGGCGCTGCGTCGAATATAAGAAGGTTCTATGATAATTACATTATAACGAAAATGTAGAATTAAAAATTTGATATCTTGAAAAATATTTCTCAACAATGAGCTATATATATTATTTACAAAAAAAACCTGTTAGCGTAATCTCTGCGGGATTAAAATATGAAACACAATCGAGCTGCTCCTCTCATAAATGATAAAATTTGCTAATGTGCCTATTATGGTCTGTGATGGTGTAGGGAGTGCAAATTTCTGCCTTTATACTTCAACATTCTTTTTAGACCATGTTTCACAAAAGGTGAGTGAATGATATTCACTGACCTTTCTTCCAGGTACGCCATTGTGCGATAGTCATAAATAATCTCCATATTTAATATCAAATGTCGTTCTTCAATCCAAAGATAATCTTCGAATACGCAATCTACTTCTATGAGATTTGGCTACTATAGAATCATACATCGAATATCATCGCTTGTCGGTTTTCTTTTGTCACTTGACTAAACTGATTTGTCAAACGATAACATGATCAAAGGCTGATTTCTAATAATATATGGATCAAATTTGTAGTTCGAGAAAACAATTTAATAGATAAATGATGATAAAATAATTTTTTTCAATTAGCTACTCAGATCTTCAAGATTGAACATGAGATTCAACACTGTTCGATCGAATTTTTCTCATCATTTTTATTTTCGAGAGAAGAACTAATCAAGTAAATAGTAAATAATCATTCATGAAGGTAGATTATTAATAAAGTGAAATATCAATTCTTTTCGATATTGAATCGTTGAACTCGACGATTCCATTCATCGACAACGTAGAGATTACCAGATTGATCTAATGACAAATCGAAGGGAAACTTCAATTGATCCGCTTTGTCTCCTTGACCGCTTTCACCAACAATGATACTTCCCTGAGTCATTCCTTTAATCCAACGCATTATTCGATGATTCCAATGATCTGATACATAGACTGTACCCGATAGATCGACGAACACTCCTCGAGGATTCGACAATTGTGTGAGATCACTTCCTCTGCCTCGACCACCAGCCACAACAACTCCTTCTGTTGCACCTTTGATCCATTTCATCACACGATCATTTCCTGAGTCTGACACATAAATAGATTGATCATGATCGATGAAAATGTGAGTCGGATTATTGAGTTGATTGAGACGATCACCTTTTCCATTGCCACCAGCCACTATCGTTTCATGTGGTTCTCCTACTTGGAATCGTCTTACTGCGCTTTTTCCTACATCAGAAACGTAGAGAAATCCTTGATCGTCCATCGCAACACCCCAGCAATCAATATTCGAAATGATCACTTCTCCACTTGTACCATTTCGACGAGGCCATCGCATCACTCGTTGATTTCCATAATCCGAAATGATAAAACTGTCCTTGTCTTCGTCAATGGTCACATCTACAGGCAAGTTCAACTGATCAGTCCGATTACCTTCTCCATTTCCACCGGCTACTACTCGACCACTGGTTGCACCGGGCTTCCATTCCACAATACGATAGCCTCTTAAATCAACGATATACAATGTTTGATCATTGTCCAAATAGAAACCCCAAGGTTGATTGAATTTGTCCAGTTCATCGCCTGCACCATTACCTCCGGCTACCGTAACGCCATATTTTGTCCATCTGGCATTGAAATCGATGTACGGAACCGATCTAGCTACAATGAGACGAAAAAGTGTTCTTTAGAGTACGATTAAAATCGATCTTTCATAGGGACAACAGATGAATTTCCTATGTTCAATTGATAACTGGAATTCTATGATCTTACTCTATAGATTTCATTATTCGTGTATGTTTTTTCTACTGAAAAATTTCTATCTGACTCATACTGTATCATAAAATTGAATTTTTAAAAAATGTGAAGTTTTTCAGCTGATTGTGATTCTATTTATAGAATAAGAATGAATCCGCAACACAATTTTAAATTAGAAGATCAAACTCGAGTCTTTTCCGTCATCGCATATTACAATCTGTTTTGACTACTACTTTTAAACAATTTTTTGCTCATGTGTTACAACGAAGTAGACTTACGAAAGGATCTGCATAAGATACTATGATGGAGATGTCACCAACATCTATTCACTTCAAATTGACTTTCATTTTGCTCTTCTCTATTCACTTCAAATTGACTTTCATTTTGCTCTTCTCTATTCACTTCAAATTGACTTTCATTTTGCTCTTCTCTATTCACTTCAAATTGACTTTCATTTTGCTCTTCTCTATTCACCTATGGTCTTAGAGAAAGATCACGACCAGACACAACAATCACCCACAACGAGTGATACTAATACTCTTTATCCTGGCATATGCCCGTGAACAAGAATTACAAACAACGTTCAAAGCTAAACCTGAACAGTTTGAGTTTGATACATAACTAAGTGGAGACATTATGCTGACATCTTAGAATTCGATACTTGGAATAAACCAATTTCGCCCAGTTTCAATGAATTGGAAAAACTGGTTGAGACCTATATTGGCCAATACGTACTCGATTCTAATAAACATAACTTTTAAAGTATCTATGCTCAGATTAGAAAAATTCATGTTAGATTATCATGAACTATTATGAATTCTGAAGGTTTCAATATCCATCAGAAGCTAGTATTTTCATCTTTGATTTTCCAAGGTTTTCCATAGAAGATGTGCATTGAGAACATTTAGCAGACTATGTATATAAATTATATCCTAACATTTTTCTTCATGTAATACAGATATATTAACCTGCCAACTTGCGAAGTTATTTCTCATCGTGTGGTCAATCATTATTCTTCTTAAAACTCCCCTTTCTCTCGAGCGATGACTTCATTATCGAATCATTCCTTTACAAAAAAATGCTTGAGGTCAAGAACAACACTGACCTTCAATTCATACAGATCTAAGTTAAATATACCATAATATGGCATTGATATATGGCGATATGGACAATTATTATAGGAAGGCATTTTTATTTCAAGAGAAAGCTTTTGAAACTTGTGAAGACACTCTTCTTTCCTTCGAATCATCACGATATAATGACTCTCTACCACAAGATTGGTGAAATGTATGAAAAACCAGGCGAGTACTCAAAGACACTGACATCTCATGAAAAAGCCCTTGGAATTCAAGAAACGGCTTCTTCTTCGAATAATCTTGACTAAGTTGCTTCCTACAACGGCATAGGTTTGATGTATAGCGCCTTAGATAGACAGTATGAAGCACTGTTCTTCTAGGAAAAAAAAACTAAAAATAGGACGAGAATATCATCCTTCGAATCATCAAGGAATGAAGAATACAAGTGAAAGAATTCTGAATAGATCCCTGTATGACATATCGTTCAGGTGACTGACTGATAAGTTACTTCGATGCGTTTCATAGATACATGAAGTACAGTTTATATTCGTCTCCGTGATGAATTGAGCAGATAGTCTCTATAATATGATGTCTAGTATAAGAGCTAACAGAGCTAGAAACATCTCATGTACGCCTTTCAATATTCTACTCAGTTCTAGCTCTCACATTATTTCGTTGTAAGAGTAGATGTTGTTTATCAACTGTTTTGAATATTAAAAGAGCTAGAACTAGTAATCAGTCCTTTTAAGCAGGAGTTGGTAACGAGCTCATCATTGCAGTTCTCGACAGCTCATGAGCTTAAATTGTCATATTCCTATACTGTATTAAATAAGATTGTAAGAAAATTTATGAGAAATACTATATGATTTAGCTGATATATTGACATGTTTTCGATGATTTAATTAGTAATTTTCAAAAGTAAATTTTTATAAATTCAGATTTCATTTTTATGACCGGAAATTTTCTTTAGAAATTGTAGAACTCATTAACTGTATGCAAAGTCTATATAGATGATTTTAATTCAATAGTAGTGTACGTAGTTCTTTATGTATCTTTATCAAAACAAAAGAATAAATATAAAATACGAATTATAAATCTCCATAAAAGCAAATTTTAATTTCGATATGGATCCAAACTTTGACGAAACCGAGAGAATCTTACGAGGGAAGGTCACCAACTGTTCAATCGCTTTTGAGTCGGAAC